CTGTATGCACACATCAACCACTACATCAAAATTCAACTGTATGCACACATCAACCACTACATCAAAATTCAACTGTATGCACACATCAACCACTACATCAAAATTCAACTGTATGCACACATCAACCACTACATCAAAATTCAACTGTATGCACACATCAACCACTACATCAAAATTCAACTGTATGCACACATCAACCACTACATCAAAATTCAACTGTATGCACACATCAACCACTACATCAAAATTCAACTGTATGCACACATCAACCACTACATCAAAATTCAACTGTTTGCACACATCAACCACTACATCAAAATTCAACTGTATGCACACATCAACCACTACATCAAAATTCAACTGTATGCACACATCAACCACTACATCAAAATTCAAGATTGTGATTGGACATTCAGTGTATCAGAAAATATCAAAAACTTACCAACCATGAGCCAACCAACAACTGACACATTTCCTCAATCACTAATGAATGATATTGTTTATACAGGGAATCACTGGAAACTCTTTTACAGAGAGCTGTGGCACATTGTCCTAAGGCTGAAGTGCTATGGTTAATGGGAGCCAAGGCCAAGTGGATGGCAGTAAGTACAAAGTACCGGGTATACTCATTTTAACCACTTTGTCACCACCTTACACAACCAGTGTAAACAATGATCTAAAACTCTCAAACATACTTTGGGATAGCTGTTGAGACTGTCTTGAACAGTGTACATGTACATGTGTAACATTTATAAATTTGGTTGTTCAGGATTGTCTCAAAAATTAGTTTGTGCTATTTTCTCAACTTTAGCTTCTTTTACCTTCTCTTTGACCGGCGTTCCACAGCAGCTTGTCCATAGCCCATAGAAATACATGGTTAAGTGGTGCTTATCTTAGAAACATAGAACGTTCTGGTACATAGCTATGTCCCACTTTTCAGCATGCCACTGAATGTGATTCTTACCTATAACATCTTCTCTAAACACTGTCAAGCAGCATCCAAAACATGTTGTCAGTCACCAGTAATTAATAACAATACCTGTCAGGTGACCTCTGAATTGAGCTTGACTTCTTGTTCATTAAATCAAAGCCATAGTGCTGTAGGTTAAGAACCCATTGCACACTGTCAGACTAAAACTTAAAGTTGTCATTTTTTGTTACCTATATCTTTATTTCAGCTGACTTTAGATGTCTACCTACTGTAACTTATCATCTGCTTTGTAACCTAGCCTTTATAAAGTATTTATTTTAAATTTTTTGGGGGAAATTGTTTTTTTTTTTTTATAATACAACACACATAAATAATCACATATATTTGTGAACTAAGCAAAAGTTACATGTTCTTGCAACTCCCTACAACTTTCAGTGTTTTCAAAATAGTAAATATTCATCTCTATGAACTGTTAATTTTTTAAGAAATATATGTGGTACATATTTTGTTTCTTACAATCATCCATCATTCAAATCACACAAAATTCACAAACTTGATGTAAACTTATTATTCCATGAATGAACTCGGAAATATTTGAACTTGTTTATTAATAGTGTAAATTCATGAATTTTAGGGTGATGTGTCGGATGCTAGGAGTATTCTATCACTAGCGTTCCAGGCTAATCCAAACAGTGAAGAGATCTGGTTGGCTGCCGTTAAACTGGAGAGTGAAAACAATGAATACGAAAGAGCCAGACGATTGTTAGCGAAAGCTCGTAGTAGTGCTCCAACTGCTAGGGTAAGTAGTAAAACTCCATGTAGTATCTACCACACAGTGACTGCCATGTAATTGTGATAAGAAGTCATATCACTTAGTCTCAAAACATGAAATATTGATTCTGTCACAATACACTTGAAATTATTTTTTTTATTTTAAAAAGTATAGAAAACTGACATTCAATGTAGAAACTGTCAACTTGCACAACAAATATTTTTAAAAACTAAACTACCTACATAAATTGAATACTCTTTGCCATCCAAATTATGACAATATTGGTTTTAATGTCTTATCTTATAATCCCAGGTATTCATGAAATCAGTGAAGTTAGAATGGTGTTTAGGATGTATTCGTGAAAGTTTTATTTTACTGGAGGAAGGTCTCAAACATTACCCAGAGTTTGCTAAGGTAAGCTACTCTATCTGATGAAATGCAGACTTGGTTCTGTAATGTCATTGACAAACACTACCCAGAGTTTGCTAAGGTAAGCTACTCTCTCTGATGAAAGCAGACTTGGTTCTGTGATGTCATTGACAAATACTACCCAGAGTTTACTAAGGTAAGCTACTCTCTCTGATGAAATGCAGACTTGGTTCTGGAATGTCATTGACAAACACTACCCAGAGTTTGCTAAGGTAAGCTACTCTCTCTGATGAAATGCAGACTTGGTTCTGTAATATCATTGACAAACACTACCCAGAGTTTGCTAAGGTAAGCTACTCTCTCTGATGAAATGCAGACTTGGTTCTGTAATGTCATTGACAAACACTACCCAGAGTTTGCTAAGGTAAGCTACTCTCTCTGATGAAAGCAGACTTGGTTCTGTGATGTCATTGACAAATACTACCCAGAGTTTACTAAGGTAAGCTACTCTCTCTGATGAAATGCAGACTTGGTTCTGGAATGTCATTGACAAACACTACCCAGAGTTTGCTAAGGTAAGCTACTCTCTCTGATGAAAGCAAACTTGGTTCTGTGATGTCATT